GCAGCATTGTATTAGCCGCAGCATTGTATTAGCCGCAGCATTGTATTGGCCGCAGCATTGTATTAGCCGCAACATAGTATTAGCCGCAGCATTGTATTAGCCGCAGCATCGTATTAGCCGCAGCATCGTATTAGCCGCAGCATCGTATTAGCCTCAGCATCGTATTAGCCGCAGCATCGTATTAGCCACAGCATTGTATTAGCCACAGCATTGTATTAGCCGCAGCATTGTATTAGCCGCAGCATTGTATTAACCGCAGCATAGTATTAACCGCAGCATTGTATTAACTGCAGCATAGTATTAGCTGCAGCATAGTATTAGCCGCAGCATTGTATTAGCCGCAGCATTGTATTAGCCACAGCATTGTATTAGCTGCAGCATTGTATTAGCTGCAGCATTGTATTAACCGCAGCATAGTATTAGCCGCAGCATTGTATTAACTGCAGCATAGTATTAACTGCAGCATTGTATTAACTGCAGCATAGTATTAGCTGCAGCATAGTATTAGCCGCAGCATTGTATTAGCCGCAGCATAGTATTAGCTGCAGCATTGTATTAAAATTAAAAGTGTGTGAAAGAAGTAGAGGCTTATAGTCCGGAAATTACGGTATCTGTAATTTTAGGGACACATTACCGTGCAGTGTTTCCCCTACCATTATTCAGGTGGGGTGCTCCACCCCGTCAACAAAACTGAGCACTCCTCCGCCTACCAAACTTAATTTGTCCCTCCCACCCCCACTGACATCACTAAGCTAGCAGCACAAAATACAGGCTCTCTAGCTAAAAATCCAAAGGCAGCACTCACATTGCCTCTTCCCTCATGTTGAACGCCCCCGCTCAAAAACTGTTAGCACAATCTGCGCTCAGACAAGTCTCCACCCCTTCCATCAGCAAAAACCATGGAGGAGATGAGCACCCCGCCATGGCAAGCTAACTAGAGGAAACACTGCCATGAATATGAGGAAAAGTATTGTGTGGATTTATTATTTTATTTTATTAGTCCGGTATTTGTGACTTTGAAATTAGTGCTTTTTATATGTTAATATTTTACCGAAAACAAATAATAATAATGATAAAATTATAATTAATTATAGTAATGAATAATGAAACACCACGTAGGATTTCTTTCTTTTTTTTTTCTGAACTAAAGTTTAGAGACAACAAACTAGTTTCTTTGGTGCTTTGGTTATGAATAAATAGGAAATATTTGCATAATTAAGAGATTTATCAGGTAAATTTCAGCTCTGAATTTAAGATATTATCTTCAAGTCATGTTGATTTGAGCTCCCGTCCTCGGGCACTTTCCGCTCTATCGTGGTTTTTTTTTTTTTTTTTACACTTTTAAAGTCTCTTGCTAATTTGTATGCTAATTTCTCACACAGCCTTTTCTCTGGAGGGAAATGAAACAGCTGGGGGAGGGGGGGTTGTTGTTTGGAGCAGACGGCGAGAACTTACTCGTCGTGTTGTATCTGACACCGTAAAACATCTCCGGACAGGGCCGGGACACCAACTGGCCGGCGCTGCTCCTGGGCCAGCAGGTGCCGATGCCGTCGATGGAGGTGTCGCAGTAGGTTCCCGAGCCTGAAGCGAGGGGACGGAAACGTCAGTCGTGACTACAAACACACACCATGAATTTCAGACGGCGCTGTAATAAACCGAGGAGCTGAATGATGCGTTCATGTGCTCATATTTTAATGACTTCTCCTGCGCTTTGTTTCTCTGAGCGGAGCGTCGTCTCCGGTGTTGGATCTATTTCCAGCTCCGCTCTCGTCTTTGATGTTAGCTTTAACAATCTGAGTTTTGGATCAAACTTGTGTGTTGTTATTCTTGTGTGTATTCCACAGCGGCTCGGTTTTGTTTGGGCTTTGTGGGAAATCAGTTTTTTTTAACAGAGCTTGGCGTGTCCGACTCACCGCTCCACTGGCTCGTGGTGTTGCTCAGGGTTTGGTTCCAGGAGGCGACCAGGGACTGCACTGTAATCCAAACAAGAGACAGCTTCAACAGAAAGCTCCATCTTCGTCTACACATTAAAAAAATAACCGTACTGAATTCATCCCAACAGCTACAAAAGGTGAGCGTTAAACGGCAACAGTAAACGTCGGGCCTTTCAATCCAAGACAGGACAGCGAATATGAACACGACCCGGGGGTCGGGACATTTTTTCTTATAACTCGGGAGGATTTAGACAGAAAAAGATCTGGAAATAAAATAAGGATGTTCCCTTGAGCAAAAGGTGGCACTCAATTTGGAGCTTCCATCGCCTTTTCCTGTAACCGTTGTTTTCACACATAAATGTGGTGAGAAAAACATAAAAACTGTCCTGAACAGCTTTAAACAGTTTATATAGTTTTAAAAGTTGAACTGTGGGGGGAAACAGTAAACAAAATGTTGATTTTACCTTGATTTATTGTTATTATTATTATTATTATTGCCGTTTTACCTCTTTTATTTTTCCAAGTTATTAAAGGTCGTGCAGGGAGGGAACGCAACAACCATGGTAAGGGAACACATACATAAATTAGTGTTTGTGGTCGAGTTTTTCTATATTTTTGGGTTGTCAACAAACACGACCACTCCTGATAAAACCTACAGATCCTCGTGTTGTTTACTTTGTCAGAGCACAGCTGATCAGGGATGATGTCAGGGAATTATTGGGAACCCCCAAAGTCCCAGATGTCGGACAAAGCGCTGCAGACTATGTGCATGACGGCCACCTCCCGTGCTTCGGACCATGTAAACCAAATGAAGTCGATGTTCCCGGGACCAACATGGACTTGGAAAACAAAAACATCTATTTTTAGTGACCGTGACCAGCGCTTTAGTTTGAAACACCCACGTAACGTTACTACCTTCCAGTGTTCCTTACGGGAAAAAACGATCATATTGAAATCAACTATAAATGCATTTTTGATCCAATATTTATCATATCATAAAATAATTGATTTCTTTCTGTTTTTCTTACCTCCCTCTCTTTATGATTTTTATATTAACAAATTGGTGATCTCTGCTTTTACATTTGAGGGACGCCGCAGCCACAGACGGGTTGTCTGGTGCGTCCATCATGGGTGAACATTTTAATGGTCCCGTCTCATTCAGTTAAATTGTTTTAGTTTGGATGGAAAGAACCAAAACACTTGTGTTGTACACGAGTAAACATCTGGTATTAGACCCACGTGCACACAGCATGAGGATTTATCCACACCTGTCGAGTCGGCCGACTACAGCGGACTCCTGTTGGTTCGAACAAAATCCTTTTTGTCTACTGGATCTGGAGGGTCCAGGGTGGTGGTGGTGGGAGGCGGGGGGTTTTCTACAAAAGTGACTTTTTCAGTCCAGGCAGTCAGAACAGGTCAGAGCGTCAGACAGGTGAAGGCACTGATCTCACTGACTGTTCTCCAAAACGCTGTAATAAACCTGATGAAGTCGACACCTGGTTGTTTTGGGAATCACTTTTTTCACGGCAACAAATTGTGTAGCGCTGTAAAACTAAAAAAGTCATTTAAATTGTATTTATTTGTATTTCAGGCTGAGGTAGATAAAATAATTGATATAATGAGGACAAAATATTTAAAAATTGTATTTTTCAAGGCGGTTGATTTTTCCCCAGAGGAGCATGTTTTGTCAAAAATGTAAAGGACGGTTTGAGAGATAAATGATAGAAAGCGTGATCCTCGGCCTTGAGCCGAGCATCACGTACGCACTGTAAAATAAATCAACCCCATCCACAATAACGTGCCTGGTTTATATTTAACTGGAGAGATTCGGGGCTGAGTGGAAGCAGCGCCGCCGTGTCTCAGCCGCGCTCAGCTGCACCGTGGGATGTACTGTGTGGTTTAATTTGGAGGATCGGATGATAATCCTGCCACAATGTGGGCGTAAGATCAGAAAATGGGTCATCTAGGAACGGCGCCGGTAAACAACCGTCCTGGCGTTTAGATTGGAGGAAAACCTCGAGTTCATCTTTAAAGTGAATGTCAGAAACATCGACTTCTCGATGCAAAACCGTGAAACTAAAGTATAAAAAGCTTCTTTTGGGATGAGGAATTATTGGATTTAAGAGAGAAAAAATAAGCCTACATCTGCTAGCTCAAAGAAGCGTGAACGAGATTAATTTTACAGTATCTTAGTCGCTCGTAAACAGTTTAATTAAACAATTAATTATAGGTTCTCTGGAATGACAATTTGCTGATTACAACCTTTTGAGTCAGCAGGAAAAAAGAAATTAAAATTAATCACTTGAGGAAATTTCCATGCCTACGTGATTAACTAATTTATTTTAATAACGTTATTTTTAATATTTGATATTTTGATCCAGTAGCAGGTAGAATTTCCTGCAGTGCGATTGTAAAACCGTAAATATTAGCTCATTAGGAACTGCCTCGGAAAATCTTTACAAACATGATCTGAAACAAGCCAATTAAAACAGCTTTCTTGTGCTTTCCAGGCATTTCTTGGACGACTCTGTGTGTACTGGTACGGTCTGACAAAAATGGAATGATATAAAAAGACAGTTTGCCGATATCCACCGGGGTCAAGTTGAGACAGAAGACGAGGCTTTGGCATTTAGCTGTTATGTGAATAAAGGAAAAGACTGAAAATCAATTCAGCCTCGCGAGTCGAGCGTTCTGTGCAGAGGTCGGAGAGCTCTGGGAAATAAGCGCCTTTAAAGAGCCTGTAAAAACGCCCGTTAAGCCCGGCTGTAATAAGCGTCCAGTTAGTGCTTACATGAGATGTTTCCTGCCAGCATGAGCAGAGCTTCACACGTCAGGTCAGCCGAAGAGGCCGACGGCAGGAGGCCGGCCACGGCGAACACCTGGGAGCACAGAGACAAGCAGAATGAAATATTAACGTCGTCCCCTCGACCCGAGCGTTGGATCTTCTGCTGCTTCAATTCCCGCTGGTCAACAAAGTTCAGCTGGAACAACCTCAGACCTTCGGAGCACTTCAGATGTGTGGAACACGGTGCCACTTTTTAATGAGCGGACACTTACGAGCTACTCGTAGTTAATAATGCAGGTATTAAATGAGCCGAACACTTTATGAACTTTAAAATAGACAAACTGCATTTCCTGCGAAAATGAAGTGAAAGGAATCTGCTGAAAAACAGCTGAAATTACCTAAAGACATTCTGAAATGGAAGCACAAGCCTAAGTTAGCAGAAGAAAGAACGTTTGATGCATTAGGTTTAAATAAGCAGAAATTAGCACAAGAGAAATTACATTAAAACAAGCTGAAATTAGAAAAAAAAAGCTGAAATGTAGCTGAAAAGGAAGAAAGAAGCTTAAACTACCAGAATGAAGTGGAAGGAGCTGAAATGAGCTCATAAAATATGGAATTAGAAAAAATTAGCATCAAAACAGCTAAATAGTAGCTGATATAAAAGAAAAAGCTGAAACTCGCAGAAAGAATCTGAAAGCACAAAACAGCTGAAATTAGCTGCAAGTAGCTGAAAATGTTTAAATTTGCACAAGGAAGCAGAAAGAAGCTGAAGCAGAACAAAATGTGAAAGGAGCAGTAAAGGGTTGTAAACAGCTAAAGGTCTGAAGGAGGTAAAAAGAGCTCAATTCATTTTCTATTAGAAAAAAGACAGAAAAAGCTAAATAGTCTCTCGTTATCACCGGGGATCTGTACCCTGAAGACCTGCAATAAGTGAAAAACACGAAATAGGAATAGTACTACAAGTAGTAAGTAGTAGTTTATTTTAATATGTGTATATATATATATATATATATATATATAATATATATATATATATATATATATAAAGGTGTTTTAAACCCTTCCCACACTCTTGCAATATTCTAAACAATGTTTCTAGACTCTAAATGCTCTAAAACAGAACAGGATGTCATGATTTCAGCTTCCTGCCTCCGCTGCTCTCAGCCACCTGCAAGCGCTCTTGGCCACGCCCACTTCTCCGCTCTGCACGAACAGCTGATCAGCTGCAGCAGGAAGTTTATCCTGCAGTGTGGGCTGCAAAAATATGCAGCAGGTGCTAAATAATTTAAAATAATTTATTTAAAACAACATTTCATGCCGATCATGTGGCTCTTCCATCAATCAGCCAGTTGTGTGTCATGTCCAATTTTATTTTGAAAAACCGCGATCGAGCGAGTCCGCGATAAATGAAGCGTGATGTAGCGAGGGACTACTGTATTTCAAAAAGTTAAAGTTGCACCAAAACCAAAAGTCATGACAGGATTGTCCTGAAAGAGCCGAACGTTTTGATTCATGATTTGTTGAAGTAGCTGAAAAACGTTGTGAAGAAAACTGGATCACAGCAGAGTTAATGCTTCAAGCAGTCAAACAACCAGCGGTTCTTCTGTGTTGATGAAAAGGGCGTTGATGACTCGTTCCAAGTTACAGGTAACATCGAGGGTGACGATGAGGGGCTGATGAAGAAATGTGACCCATCACGTGGAACTGGGGATCCACTCCGAGGTGGAGTGAGATCTAGACAGCTTCAGTGCTTCGGTGGAAAAACTGCCGATAATTGGATTTTGTCAAAATACGAGGCTCCATCGAAGGAGAAGTAAAAACTAACACTAAAGAATGTTTTGAAGCACTTTCTGTAGCAGCACCAACTACGAACCATGTTCTGAACAGAAATCCCTAAATGTTAACTATTTTCTCTGCATGCTGGAAGATAGCTGAGAAATCCTGATATGCAAATCTGGTTGAAGTTTCTGTTTCAAATGGCGTCAATAAATTGTATTTATTTATTTTATTTACCCAGGAAAATCCCACTGAGATTAAAACCCTCTGTTTCAAGGGAGACCTGGCCAAGATGTGCAGCATCAAATCCAAAGCGTGGTTCCATCACTGAAATCCTCGTTAGAAAGAACTGGATTCAGACCCATTGTGAGATGACGTCTCGATTAGCAAGACAAACGTCTGCGGAGCCGCTCACGTCGGGATGATCTGGATATAAAATGTGATTTCTGTAACACTCTTTATGCTGGGAGAACATCACTCCTGCTCATTTCTCTTTCCACTGACTCAGTCTGTTTTATTTTTACAGGTTGGTTTTAAAGCTCTTAATGCTCTTCCTCCACCTCATTCAGTCGATTTAGTAGCTTTCTGTGAGCACGAGGACTTACAATCCAATCCAACTTTATTTGTAAAGAACTTTCAGACGCCACGGCGGACCAGAGCGCCGTACAGCCGACATTAAAACGATCCGTGTAAAGTCAAATACAAACTATAACACGAGTAAATTAAAACCAACAATAAAGTTCATAAAATCAGGTTAAACAATGAAGTCAGATAAAAACAGCTTTTCAGAAACCGTGAAGAACCAGATCACCAGCTGTCCCCATCACGGTGCTCGGAGGAGCTGGACAGACCCTCCATCCGTGCACATTGTGAGCACCACTTGAAATTCAATGAGAAACTGACTTCCATTTTGGTGTGTGGCTACATGTGGACATCACAAGTCACTGGTGAAAAATGGGTGGCCATGACAAAATCCAATATGGCTCCAAGTATGTATAAGTGTAAATATACAGATTTATTACTGAGAGAATAATGACGATGACAGAAACTTTGTAGTTAGTTTATAAAAGTAGTTAACCGCAAAGAGGATTGATAACGTGAGTTAATTAATTATAGTAAAGGACTCAAGGCAGATGTCCGACACACATTGAATGCATCACTCTGCTTCAGCAGAGTTCTGCTCCACCTCTTTGGTTCTGATGGACCGGATTAATTTCTGAACGCTCACCTCTGAATGGGACATGGACGCTTTACCTGTGCACCATAAACCATTTTGACAATGTTGTCACGTTACAACGGCAGAGAATTAATGTACGGGGGCCGGGGCCACCATTGGCCACCCCCCGGTGTAACCCAGGTCTGGGTCCAGTGTCGGCGTTGTTCACCATCACGACCAAGTGCGAGTATAACCAGGTCACGGACACAGAACTCTCTTTATTACAGGGAGCTGGTATAATAAACAGCAGGATGTGTGCGACATGCACGGATCTCCACCTGCTTCCAATATCGCTTGTTTTTATTTTTATGTGTGATCTATCGTCAGGTCAGCTGGACAGTTTATTTTTTTGTTGTTGAGACGCAGACTGATGAAGCCCTTTGGATGAAACGCCTCTCAGCAAAAAAAGAAACTGTCCACGTGACCTGACTGAACACTGCTGGATTTTTTTTTACCTGGATTATTGAGCATGAACCTTGATGTGTGATCATACAGTTAGTTGTTTTTTCTTCCTCAATATATTCATGCAACAATTTTACATTTTAGATTATAACGTTTTATTTTCGCATAAAACACAGTTAGCAGTATGAAAACAGCAGATTAACATTAAACAGTAAAATATTTTTAAGACACATTTTTATATATTCATACACATTTGAGCCCATCTGGTATAATAAACATTACACAATGTTCCATCAGTGTGTGGACAGTTGCATGCACGGTTCTGTTCAGGACTAAATAATAAAAAAAAACCTTTTACTGTAAGAAAAAATGACTAGCAGCGTTAGCTTCTGTTAGCTTAGCATGCTAACCGGAGCAAATCTTATTCATAAAGTCGTTATTTCGACACAAACACGACAAAACCTTCACAAAATACACCAACAGTGCCAATACACCTGTGACAACTTTTATGGGTTAGCTTATTTATCAGAAATGTGGTTTTAAACGGATATTGAGTGTAAAGAGGCTTCACTTACATCGATCTCCACCAGCGTCCATTATCACGTGGGGGCGGTGCGCGCGCCTGACGGACCCCTCGCGTGCAGCTGTGACAAACTACCAGTAGGTGGCGCCAGAGAGCTACCAGTAGGTGGCGCCAGAGAGCTACCAGTAGGTGGCGCCAGAGAGCTACCAGTAGGTGGGGCCAGAGAGCTACCAGTAGGTGGTGCCAGAGAGCTACCAGTAGGTGGTGCCAGAGAACTACCAGTAGGTGGGGCCAGAGAGCTACCAGTAGGTGGGGCCAGAGAGCCGAGAACTGCACACGTGTTTTTAAACTTTTCTTCTGTTACACCGACTCCACCATCTGCTGCTGGATACATTTCATTCAGTCCTGTGCCCCCTTGTAATTTTTATCATGTAAATTAAATATATATAATATATAAATATAACTCCCAGAAGATAAATTAGGGCAAAAGACAAATACATTTACTAACATATCCTAATTTAATGAGTACATACGGAGTACATGTGGTTAGTTCACCAAAAAATAAAAAATAAACAAGCCTCAACAGCAGCAAGCTAAATATAGCAGAGCATTTAGCTAATAGCAAAAACTCTTCTTAAATGCATAGCGCTAAGCTAGCAGCGCGCAATACAGACACGCTAGCTAAGATGCTAGACGTAGCACTCCACTTCAATAACGCACCCCCCCCACTCCGGTCAACAACATGCTAACACTTACTTAGCGCTAAGCTAGCACTACGTAAGTCCAGTCAATGGGAACTTGTGCCATCTACGACACGTCTGACACCATGATTCACGTAAATGGCATCTTTTACATGTTTGCAGGTAAATGTGCTCCTGGGCTCACCAGGATCCGTCACTCGGCGCCGCCTCGGACAAAAAGCACAACACAAACGCGTCCAGCTGCTCCACATGTGGGCTGTGGTAGCTCGCTGGTTGCAGCAGGAAGAGCGCCAACGTAACAAACGCCAAATCCACGAGTTCGCTCGCTGACCCTGAAGGAGGGAGCAGCCAAAAGAAAGAGCGTGTGGGTGTTTGTGTGAATAAAAATGTGTTTTTTTGTGTTTAATTTCCAAAACTATCATATATTTGACAAAAGCGGATAAATCATGTCATCTGGACGAGTTCCTTCTTCTTTC